CAAGTGGAGAGCCAGTCAAAATACCAGACCATCTTAATGACTGGACATACCTTTGTACGTGACTTGGTTTATATTCAGAAGATCTGGCACTTCACAGGCATTCAGTAAAAAATGTATTACAAGCTAGTACAGAAGGAGAATGTCACGCATCGTAGGCTGGGAACTGGTGTGAGCACATGGGGAGGCAGGAAATGTGTGCTGGGAGCTGCACATGGACCTCTCTTGTCCAGCCAAATGGTCCCTTCTCAGGCCCAGTTGGTACCCTGATTGTCCCTTCCTGCCAATACTGTGGGTTCTTTGGTCTCAAGCTACTTTCCTCTGGTGGCTGCTGGCCATTCCTGTCCTCTCTCACTCATTTTCTTTCTGTAACTAAAGTTGAGTTCTTACATCTCTTATAAAAATGGACCATTGATCTTGTGATCAAAGGACAAGAAGATAAAGAGATAACAAAGTTTAGAAATTCTTTATATTAGGAGGTCTCTTCTGTATTTTTCTTGAGTCTACTGCACAACCTTATGGAAGTCCTTATTGAGGGTTTTATTTCTGAGGGATCGATCCCCCCCTTCCTTCATAACTTAGCAAAGTCATGTGACCATTTGCCCCCATGAAAGCCCCTCTTAGCCTGCAGCCCAAGCAGAACAAATTGCTCAGATGGCCCGCTTTACATTCCAGAGGCCCACTAGACCAGGACTGTCCATTAGGCAGTCCTTCCCGTGATAATGGGAATGTTCTGTGTCCACACTGCCCAGTGTCATGGCTAACAGCCACATGTGACAGTCATTCACTGGAAATGTGACTAGTGTGATTGAGTTGACTTTTTTTTTTTTTTTTTTTATTTTTTGCCTTAGGACATGTGTGTTTGCTGGAGAGAGACAGAGACGGTGAAAAGGAGAATGAGAAATCGCCCCCCCGGCGGGGATAATGGCCATACTTCAAACCCTTCTCCTCCATTCTCCTGGGATTTAGACCTAGCATGATTTTCAGGCTGACAGGTCCGGGACTTGAACTGGGGTTGGCTGTGTGGGAGTCCAGCACCATAACCATGCTGCCTGCTGGCCTGAGGTGCTGACTTTTAAATTTTAATTAAATTTACAGCGCCACATGTGGCTAGTGGCTACAGTTTTAGAAGTCTGCTCTGAACTTAGGTTCTTTCTCTCAACTACTGAGTTGCTCAGAATTGAATTGCATAGCTAATACTTAGGGACATTATAATGAGAGTAGTTATTTATTTATTAACATCTCCTGTGTCCAAATATTGATTAAGAAGTTTACTTGAATTATCTCATTGACTTTACTAAAAATCCTTATTGATTTTAAAGTGTTAAGGAAATCTAGTGGCAGTCTGATGTTAAAAGGGTTCTGCAGATAGGTGCCTCACTTTGGGTTTCTGAATAAAGAAGATTAATTCCCGAGGAGCAGGGGTCAGGAGGGGAGGAAGTAGAATCATCCTGTCAGTTTCCTTCCTAGCTCTAAGTTATAAGAATCACTAATCTTGTAGGAGTGTTCCTATCCTTCTGGGCCTTTGCGGGGAGAATGGTTGGCAGGCACTGTAGATGATGTTTATTAAGCCCAGTTGGGTAGTCATTATCATACTTCAATATGCATATGAATCTCCAGGAACTCTCGTTGAAATGATGGTTCTGACTGAATGGGTCTAGATGGGAGCTGAAATAAATTTCACATTTCTTTTTTTTTTTTAATACTTATTTTAATTTTAATTTTACTCACTGTCATTATTTTATTTTTTAATTTTTTTATTGAAGTTGACCAGATAGAGACAGGCCAGCCCTGAGGTGATACTGATGCTAACCTTGAATGACAAGGCTGTTAGAATAACAGAGTCTAGGGACCAGCAGTTAGCATAATGGCTACGTCGCTGGACTCCCATGTAGTCGACCACGGTTCGCGTCCCGGACCTGGTGGCTTAAAACTCATGCCAGGCGCGTGTGCGTGTGTGCCCAAGATCCTGAGAGGAGAATGGAGGAGAAGGGATTGCGGTGTGGCTATCCCCCCTGGGGGGTGATATCTCGCTTTCTGTCTCTCTCTGTATGTCTGGCAAGTGCATTTTGCTTGTAGCTAAAATATCTCCAAAAATAATAATAATAATAATAATAATAATAATAATAACAGAGTCTATTAAGGTTCCCCATATTCCAAACACGGAAAAGGTCTGTGGCATTGGTCCAGTATGAATCCACTGCTTACCACAAGGCAATATTGAAGTTCAAATAATGGTTAGGTTAAAAGGGACCAGTAGATGGCATAATGATTACATCGCTGGACTCCCACCTAGTTATCCACGGTTCGAGTCCCAGACCTGGCAGTTTAAAACTCACTCTGGGGGAACCAGCAGTTAGCGTAATGGCTATGTCGCTGGATTCCCACGTAGTCGACTGCGGTTCGCGTCCCGGACCCGGCAACTTAAAACTCACGCCAGGCGCGTGTGCGTGCGTGCCCAAGATCCCGAGAGGAGAATGGAGGAGAAGGGATTGCGGCGTGCCCATCCCCTCTGGG